GTCTGACTCATTCGGCTTGTGAACTTCGGTGGTGGAACATCTCTGGATACTCTCGCTGTAAGTAACTGTAACTAGGTTTTTTAGTTGAATAATATTGATGAATTTCCGTTAATGTCATCAATTATATGTAGTATTTAACATAATATTTTATATAAAAATTATAAATGTGATTTATTTTTTTTTAGTTTTAGTTAATTAAAAATATTTATGTTCTATATTTACGATTACCTAACGTTATTTTTGTGTTTATTAATCATTTACATGTGACACTAATAACATTAAACGTGTTTCAAACCCATTGTTGACCTTGTTATAATAATAAGACAACTAATCAACACATTGTAACTAAAAGTGAAGCACACTAATGTGCAAATACAGTTAACTTACTTCCGATACATTAACATCGTTCATGCAGTGATTACATAGACACGTGTATTCAGAGTAGGCTGTGGCAGACGAGCCCTTGAACTTATGATGTACTCTACGAAACACATTTTTTTCCCTTGTTATTTCTCTCACTCTCTCTCCTCTCTAACAGAGTGATCATGATGAAGCTGTCGCTCCTGGTTGTGTTGCTGGCACTCAGCCTGGCACTGGCGGAGCCGCAGTCTCGTGAGAGTGCCAGCCAACGTTTTTTTGGCAGTGGTTTCAACATTTTGAAGCCCCTATATGATATATTTCCAACACAACAAACATCACCTGGTCTGTTTGGAATCCCCGGACTACCACCTCTTTTTGGACTGCCTGGACTTTTTAACCGTCCCCCAAGTGGCACTGGGGCAAGTTATCCCGGTTCTTATCCTGGAGTAGGGGCATCCCCAGTATTTGGCAACTTTCCTGGAATTGGTACTCTCCCAGGATTAGGAAATTTCCCAGGATTAGGAAATTTCCCAGGATTTGGTGGTTCTCCAGGATTTGGTGGTTCTCCAGGATTTGGTGGTTCTCAAGGATTTGGTGGATCTCCAGGACTATTTGGTTCTTCAGGATTAGATGGTATTCCACAACTTGGAGGTTCTTCAATATTTCCAGGGTTTCCGTTATTCGGATGGTATCCAGGACTAGGTAGCTATCTAGGACAAGGAAAGCCTGTGGGAAACGGGTTGGGAAGTGGCACTCCTGCAGTAGGAGGCTTCACAGGATAGCGCCCACTCCGCCATACATCTGAGTGGTGAAGGAGAGGGAAAGTCCAGCCTGGAGAGAGAGGTCGATTATGTACCTCAAGACTCACCCATGTTGCAGTCATCATTCATCAGCCATCCTCCTCCTCCTCTCATAGTTCCTGTCACCCTCATCCATAATGTTCACCTGAGGATTATATTCATCTACATATAGTTAATATATTTAATTGATCGTTACATTAGAAGATTTAGTGATCCCTTCACGCTCATCCGTTTTAGTATAGATAATCATCTCGTGAACGCCGTCATCTTCACTATCACCCACACTCAAGGCTATCCTCTCTCCTCGCTGGACCAGCGTGTCTAGTCAAGTATTCATTTGGACGTTCGTAAACACCTGTGAGTCTCGTGCTTTCTGAGTGCAAATATATTTAGACGTGTCAATGTTGTATCCTTTATCCTTCTTTGTTTATACTTTTTGATGCTGCATTGGGAGGTAACAATGGCATTCAACAGTTTGAAAACACGGTTAACATTCCGTTGGTGTAAAGGATCATAGCTGTAAAACACAATCAGAAGCGCATATATGTTGAGCTCTCAAGAATACTAAAGAGAGCCAACTACAGCAAATGACCGGGTCCTAACGACAATCTAGGCAGCCTTTGGCGTTCATTATAGGACTATACAACCTCTCAAACCTTATTCTCAAAATTAAACACAATTTTCCACAATATAAATTTTGCTTGTAGTCTGTTATCTTCATCGTGTACCACTCGCTAAACGAAAGAAAAGTTTTCTTTCGAAGTGCTAAAACATAAATATTGACTATAGAGAAGGTACGGAGAAGTGTGGACAATTAGTGTGAAGGATAATGAGGGTATTTCAGAAATTATCATTAATGGAAGGGAGTGTCATAGCATGATACCGAGAAGGTCCTGCCAAAATCAGATAATACGCCGTGTTTTTGTTACTTGGACAATTTTTCATGCGTGAAAGTGGTCATTACTGTTGCGTCATGTTAGAAAGTGGTCTGGATGGAGTGAAGGGAGACCGGGTGTAGATCTTGATATTCCCTACGGCTGCTTCGTGGGCGAACTGCTTCTGGTAGGAATTTCCATATCGGTATAATTTCTATATAAGCCTGCATTGTTGCTTGCACGTCTCTCCTCGGTTAGTATCACGGTAAATGTAAATAGATCTGGGATCCCAGTTTTCTGTGTTTTAGGTGTAAATGAGTCTGGGGTCACAGTTCTCTGGATTAAGTGTAGAGCAGTTCTCAGTCCTCTGGATTAGGTGTAGAGCTGTTTCTAGTATTCTGAGATAAGTGTAGAACGGTTCCTAATCTTTTGGGTTAGGTGCAGAGCGGTTCTCAATCCTCTGAGTTATGTGCAGTGCAGTTCCCATTCCTCTAGGATAAATATAGAGCGGTTCCCAGTCCAATCGGAAACGTGTAGTGTGGTTCCCATTTCCTGCGATAGATGTAGAGCAGTTCCCAGTTCTCTGGATTAGATGTATAGCTGTTCCTAGTCTCCTGGGTTAGGTGTAGAGTGGTTCCCATTCCCTGACTTAGATGTAGAGATGTTTCCAGTCCTCTAGGTTAGGGGTAACACAATCTCCAGTTCTCTGGGTGATGTGTAGAGCGGTTTCCATTCTTCCTCTGAGTTCGGTAAAGACAGGTTCTAGGAGATGCAGTCCTCTGGATTTCTCAGAAATTTATTGTGAATTACTCTTTTGTATATTCTCGCTTCATGCAGGTCTGCGTTCAATCCCCGACCGTCCAAGTGGTTGGGCATCATCCCATCACAAATCTTTATCCTGACCCCTTCCAAGTGCTATATAATCGTATTGGCTTGGTGCTTTACCCTGATAGTTTCCTTCCCTTCCTTTGTATATGTCCTCCTACTTCATGTTAAAGTAACACTTGGCGGACTCTATACGGTGGGTGTGTGTGTGTGTATCTAGTATCCCGTGGTGTTGGCTGTGGTGACTGGTCTATTTAGGTCAAGGGTGTACTCTTGCATTTTATACAGCTGCCTCGTTGATAGGTGTTGTTGACTCCTCCTTATAGGCTTGGCATTGAATTTTAAGTGTGGTTTAATTTTTTCCAATTAGATTCCCGCGTTGGTACGTTTGTCGAAGGGTTGAGTACTTGGATTTATATTTTCTTGAGAGCAATCATGTAGGTTTTTGTGGTGAGTATTGTTAGGGTGGATGCATATTCTAGTAGCTGTTTTATCAGTAGTTTGGTCACATCGTTCTCAGTTGAAATTTAACAGTTGTGTTAGATTTGCTCTGATATAGTTATTATTTATCTTTTATAAGCATGTGATGGACATGTTACCATTACGTTATTATGTCCAAGAGATATATTTTATTTGTTTAGTTATCCAATACTCATATATTTCATAACCGTTTCTTAATTGAAACGTTGGTAAGGTAAAACAAATCGCAAGGGGTTGCGATTATAAAGATGAATCCTAACCCTGTGCGATTAATTATACAATTTCTATATATTGGATAATGGAAAATTTTGTGTTTTGTTGAATATTTATGCTTTCAAATATGTACACTAAAGTGCAATTTTACAATCTCTGGTGTCGCAGTGGTGCCACACTCACCCCAGACCTCGCGTGCGATTTGGTTTGGGTTCGAGTCCTAGCTAGGGATGATTGACTAGGCGCCAGTCTTTAAATGTTCTGCCTTCGTTCACCCAGCAGTAATTTGGTATCTAGTCGTGAACCGTAAGACAGGTCGTGTTCCAGGGAAAACTAAAAACTGGGTAAGACTTAACAAGGAATTGCTATTGGGAGGAAAAGCTCTGGGCCCACTAATAGGAGTCAAAAGTCGTCTGTTTCTGTACCAAATTGTGTAAAGAAAAAAGGAGGTCATCATTAGCTTACTTTTTTTTCATAATTTATCTCGCTTCAATTAACATACTTCAGTCTCTAGCACAGAGCATCCAACATTCCTGACACTGTGCACAGTTATGTAGTGGCTGTCGTTTTTTTGAATGAGTTCTTGTATTAAATTCACTCTTACTTACTCTGAACATTGAGCTCTTTATTCCTCCATGATAATCTGTCCTGACGTCCCGTCTTTGGATCCATATTTGCAGTATAAAACCTACCACCTGCTGTGTTTAGTTATTAACTTTACACTTTATCTAGCCTTTTATAGAGTTTGGTAACGGGATACCTTACCTTGAGGTTACCTTGAGGTGCTTCCGGGGCTTAGCGTCCCCGCGGCCCGGTCGTCGACCAGGCCTCCTGGTTGCCGGACTGATCAACCAGGCTGTTGGACGCGGCTGCTCGCAGCCTGACGTATGAGTCACAGCCTGGTTGATCAGGTATCCTCAGGGATGTGGTTTATCAGGTTGATCAGGGATGAATACAGCTAGTGACATTAACTTCTGTCAGATATGCTTTTAAGTTCGTGGTTCGGGGAAAAGGTGTGCGGCTGGGAGTACTCTGATCGCTGGTTCGAGTCACCTCATTGTTCCAATTGATTTTCTCAATAATAATAAAATTCTAAGGCTCACGTCTTCCAGAAAATTATTTTTTTTCACACATATTTTTGGCACTATTGAAAATTCAGGTAAAATCATGTGGCCGTACACTAAATGACAAACTTAATGAACACAAAAAAGTGTCAAGTCTGCAGACCAAAACAATGCTCTTTTCTGTCATGTTAGGGATTCTAATCTTCCTATTCATTGGTCTTCTTCTAAAATAATCTTTCCTTTCTCTACTCTTCACAGATGCCGTTTTGTGGAGTCGGCTCTGATACACAACATACCTATATATATATATATATATATATATATATATATATATATATATATATATATATATATATATATATATATATATATATATATATATATATATTTATTTATTTATTTATTTATTTATATATACGAAGGGCTTGATTCCTTCATCATTCAAAGATAATTTGAGGTAAGTATGGAAGATAAGAAAGTACAATAAATGTTGTATGCTACGGAATGTTCCTAGCAGATCTAGACATACTGCAAAATTGGCCTCATATATTATTTGTACAATTTATCCTCGGAATATCCATGATCATATAGTTCAGGGCAAGCTAGAGGACACCAGATGAACACAAGGAAAAGGGAAAGAACTCTGCAGTATTTCAAAATAACACCAGGGCATAGGCTAAATACTAAACTAATTACCAGTAGGACTTGAAAAAAAGTATATCATTGCAGACTCTTAAGTTGGTGATGTTATTGAACATTAAAACCACCATGATAAACCTAAGAATAGATACATTCAGAACACATAGCCACATGTGTAAGATTAGCATTAGAGTACAAAGTACATCTAAGGAGTTCCAACATCATGGAGCATAAGAGAAAATAATGACCTGAAGTCCTAAATAAGTTCAATAAATAATCGAATTAAATAAAGAGGACAAACTAGAGGAAGTAAACCAAGTGTCAAAAGTAAAATATAAATGATAGCAAAAACATAATCTAGACTTATGGTATATTAATAAGCCTTGACACAGAATGAGTAACAACAGCACGAGAGGTCATGCATGGAAACTAGATTCAAAATGAGATTAATAATGCGTGAAAGCACTTCGTCAGTGTGAAGACCCTGAGCGAGTTGAATGAATGTATTTATTAGAATGGGAGAGAGCTGAGGTTATCTCCTTTTACAGTTTCAAAATCAGATACAATAATAAACATGCAGGCCAGAGTCATTGCACCGGATGACATTGCAGACTGTCTCAGATATGTACTGCTAGGTGAGTACGCGCATCTCACATATGAATAAGAAAATAAAAACGTAATTAAGGAAATTGCTGACGACCTATGGGCCAGTATAGCATATACCGCTGATAATATCTCTTCGATGTGGGTTTCAACAGACAGATTCGGCGGGATATCAACCTCCTAGATCATTGTGAGTGTACTCACTTAGTTGTGTTTACAAGGGTTGAGCACTGGCTCTTTGGTCCCACCTCTCAACTGTCAATGAACTGATGTACAGGTTCCTGAGCCTACTGCAGATGCTCTATCGTATCTACACTTGAGATTGTGTATGGAGTCAGCCTCCACCTCATCACTACTTAATGCATTCTATCTGTTAACTATTCTGACCCTGAATAAATTCTTTCTAATGTGTCTGTGGCTCATGTGGGTACTAAGTTTCCACCTTTGTCTCCTTGTTCGTGTTCCACCCGTGCTAAAGTTTTTCTTTGTCCACCCTGTCAATTCCTTTGTGAATTTTGTAGGTGGTAATCATGTTTCCCCTTACTCTTCTGTTTTCCAGGGACGCGAGGTTCAGCTTCCTTAGCCTTTCCTAGTAGCTCATACTTCTCAGTTCCGGGACTAGTCTGGTGGAATACTTTTGAATCTTCTCTAACTTTGTCTTGTGTTTAACAAGGTATGACTGGTTAAATACAAGTTTCTGTGTTTAAGGGCAGGCAGGTCTTATGTTGGTCAATCTAGCATTTGCTGCTGATAATATCCTTTGATGTAGGCCTCTGGGGACAGGTTCGGTGTTATTTCAACCCCTCAACCTGCGTGTGCGTGTGTATGTGTGTATGTGTGTATGTGTGTGTGTGTGTATGTGTGTATGTGTGTGTGTGTGTGTGTGTGGTGATGTGTATGTGAGCTATGTACTAATACACATGTTTTTCCCGATAAATATGTCTAATTTCGTGATGGTTATCACATATGAACTTTGCGTTTTTTTCTGTGATATGAATAAATTCACTGCCATCGTTAGACATAATCGTTTTTATGTGATTTCACTTGTCTCACAATTTACCACGTTTCTAATCAGAGTTATATCCCTATTTGGGTGATTTTGGTGACATTTGTGGGAAAATGTTGGCTATATCTGGAAACATGATAGATTAAACTGAACCGAGGCAAACTCTTTGTGTATATGTGTGCATGATTGTAAACTCCTTCGAATTTTGCATGTCCGGAATAAATGACAATATAACGAACAAAGTTATACAATGAAAGGTGAGAAAATAAGGAACATCACTGATAAATCATGACTGCCGTGATAATAGATTTTCAATAATTTTAATAGATAATATATCACGATACATATTTGTAGTCTACAGCGCCACGAGAAGCGTCATGCTCTCAAAAGCTGAGAATGTTGCTGAAAAGTTCTTCCCCTATGAGGGTGTAAAAACCCCTTTCTACCAGTGGGGTAGGTGGGCTCGGCCCTCTAGCAGGAGATGTGTTGCTGCAGGGTAAAGAACTTTTCCACCCTCTCTAGGTTCTTCTGTACCCATTTCAGAAGGCTGTCATACCCAACCTGGATAGTTTTCTGTACGCAATTTATAATTTTGTATAGGGCTCTTGTAACAACGAATGGGCTCCTATATGCACTCATTAAAAACTCATTTCTTTCATGAGAAAATATTTTCCAAAGTACACTCGAAGCTTTGTGAAGTTAGTCTTCAGAACTCTCAATGGAAGACAACTGCTACGAAATAGCCGTGCATAAACTATGGAAAATTCCAAATTAAAAAATTCATAACCAACTTTAAGGCTTGAGTTTACCAAGGAAGACTTTTTTAAGAGTTACAAAAGCATCAGTCACATCCTCTTCAGTACATGACGTGATCTCAACTTGTTCCTCCCTCAGGCACGGCCAGGAACAGCATCTGACACACATATGTCACTTTATCTGAAAAAATTAACTCATCATTAATGCCAGTACAAATCATTTAACACGTTATTAATATCTTTACAATCTCTAAAAAAGAAGATATTTGGAATTTCTTCATAGAAATTAATCTTACAGTGTAATATCACTTAAGATCGTAAGTTCAAAATATGTCGAGAAAGCTACAAGTTATTTATAACAATAATAATAATTATAATAATAATAATGGCAATAATCATGATGATAATAACAATAATTTTAAAGATAATTCAAAAATAATTGTAATTAATAATGATAATTCAAAAACTAATTGTAATTAAGAATGATAATTCAAAAACTAACTGTAATTAATAATGATAATAAAAACCTAATAAAAACTGTCATAACATCACCACCACCAACAACCACAGTGACATAATATTAGAGTAATAGCCTGTAGAGCACAAAACGCGTTCCAGCACACAACACAAGTTCCAGAGGTAACTTACCCATGGCGTAGAGGAATTTCTTGGGCTTATCCTGGCGGTGGATGGCGAAGTAATAGACTGGAATACCCGTGACAATGACCACCAGCGCCGCTACCACCTCCAGAGGCTGGCGTATCACCGGAAACACCGTCAGGAATCCCATGATGATCAGGTGCATTATTGGGAAGCCGAGCCACACCTTGAAGGAAGGGATACGTACATCACATTGACCAACAGAAACTCAGACTAATTCTCGTTGAAAGAAAAAAAATTAATTGTGTTTTACGGGAAAAATCTTAATCGAAATGTTGGATCGAAAGGGATATAGTGAGCTACCGCTCCAGTGAGATTATATATTTCATACTTTGTTATTAGCGATCTAATATGAGCTGAGAAAGAGTGTGTCCATTCATAAAATAGGTAGAAAAATGTGGTGTGCCTTGTTAAAATCATTATGTTAAAATATACCGAATGAGGTCTGTTTTCCGGTACAACACATGGAAAGATGGAGGGTGCCCAGAGATGGTTGACTCTCCCAGATCAATTAAAGCAATTGGGCTAATTATCAGGAAGTCTTTAAGGAAGTAAGACATTGTTTAATCAAAACTTACTGCTGTCCTCTCCAGAAAAAAGTTTCATGATTAATTTATGGTTTAAATTAGAAAAAAATATAATGCTCGTTCAAAAGTGTCCTGGATGATTTCGCGAGACCACATAATATATTTGCTTTCAAACAAAAATATTCCAGATCTTACGGGAGTGCTTTCTACAGTACAGAAGAGACATATAGCTCTGACTCAACGACAGCTGTCAATAAGATCGGTTATCATCACGGCCGTAATGCTAAACACTTGCATTCTGTAATCAATGTGATGATTACGTTGATCTGTTCAGAAAACTAGCTGTTCAGAAATTAAAAAGTGCAAGACACAAAATTTGTTTTGCATTTACTGTAATTAACTTGAACTTGGGATGGGTGAAATTGTCTATGAGTTTTTCAGACCTTAACATCTTTGTTATATGAAGGAAAACAAATTATGTAATTATTCCAATTATCTAGAACTATCGTACATCAAAATCTTCTTAAATAGTAACAGGAACATTAGTTGAAACATACTTCAAAACAAGGATTCAGCAATATATCTATTTAGTCTCTATTTGATGAGTTAAGAGCTACTGCTGTTCAGTTTGCAAATTAAACTGCATGGCTAAAGGACATAAGCAAAGTAACAACAAATTAATCAAAGAGTAAGTAAGAAAACGAGAAACGTGTGTTTGTAAATATGATAAGCGGCGGAAAAGCAAGCATTCAAAAACACAGAAGCATCGAATGCTGAGAACTGGCCTAAGATGTTCTATAGCCACATGAAGAGGAGGAAGATGCCTTTGAATAACCAAGTGATCAGAATTATCAGAGGAGAGATGAGTAGGGAATACTAAGTCAGGTAATATTGCTCTGAAAAAATCACAGTGGCATAGTAAAAGTTGAGTGAGATCTCAAAGTGGAAATAGATGTGGAGCAAAATACGACATATGGTAGTATTAGGAGCCCTCCTATTCCTAATATATGCTTCCAACTTGTGAAAATAAATTAGCTTTCTCATATCAGCTTTTGTTAATGATGAAACTAATACATAAGAATCTGAATAGAGAGGGACTATAATATCGTCTTTAATAGAAAATTACTTCACATTTGGACTGAAAAATTGCTTCTCAATTATAATTCAGACAAGAGCAGAAGTGAAATATTCCTTCAATCAGTACAGATAAAAAGGGAGAGAAATTATGTGTATATATAACCCTAAATTAAATTCCAGAACCACACATTAACATAATAATGTCAGCAGCACAGATCAAACTAGCAAAAATGAGAATAATTTAAATACAATTAGCAAGAGGCCAATTGAGTGCCTCTGTGCAACAGATTCTTGAATATATAGCATCTGAAATAAATTCCAACTTGAAACTACACAAAACCAAACTAGAAAAGGTCCAAAGATATGCAACATGACCCATTCCTAAACTGAGTTGCTTAAGCTACCTGAATAGACTTTCAGTGTTGCACCTTGCAGCACTGAAGACTATGGAATAGGAAAAACATAAAGATATATATGAAGAAAATCTTACGAACAGGGGAGTGGAATAGAATCCATGTCTGGCGACACACCAGTCGCACTCATTCCACCATACTGTTCCCAAGATTTTCTCAATGATGCATAAAACTATTCTGAGTTCATTGTGCATAATATATATGTTATTATATTGGAAACAGATGAAGTAGACAAAGAAGACATTCTAAAAAGAAGTAAAAGTAGAACGAGATGTCAGATGAAAACAAGTGAGATATTTTTTTTAATTCACATGTTTTGAAATGTAAATGTGATAAGAAAACCGAGAATATACAGTTTTTTGCGAGAATACAGACGGTACAGCTGAGTGAGTATCACAGTATACCAGTAACAGAAAATATGAAGATAAACGTTCTCTGTAGACAAATAAATCATTAGTGAAGGCCTCGTTTCAAACTCATTACCTTACCGACGGGAAACTTGACACCGGAGACATGTTTGCAAACTAAAAACAATGTTAAAAGTTCATGTGGACGATCGTGAAGGTGGGAAAGAACGAGACCAGATTTAGTTAAGGTGAGGCAAAATAAATAATGACTTTTTAGATTATGGGGCACGAAATCGTCTAAGTAAGTGTTCCTCCTGCAGCAGTGAATGCGTATTAAGAAGGAATCTACAACATGTAGCAGATGTCATAACATTGTAAATATCTTCAAATTATATTTTACAGATATTTCAATTATATATTTCATTATCTTAATATATGTTTCAGGGGTAATAGTTGATTTAGGGCCCCATGGCCTCCATGTTCTATGATTGGAGAAAGCAGGGCTTTAGAGCTAGAGTAATCCTCACCCCCAGAAGTGACAAGGGGATCAAGGGAACATAATATCACAAGAATATATATTAAAAAGTGATTGTGCAAAGCATATAACAACACTTTTTGGGGGTTTTAGAGTTATTGTGGTGTCCGGTGGGTTCCGGAGGTTTTAGTAATGATTCGACAATAGTGTTGATTGGGACTGATGATGAGGCAAATACAGTTTAGGGAGTTGAAATTAATTAATGAATTTGTGGTTGCGTAAATACATAATATAAATAATTAAATAAATAAATGCACTATAATTATCAGTGATTTTACTGACTCTGTAATTCCCTACATGGTAATATCTGCTTCTATGAACATTCCTGACGAAATATCTAAAAACACTGAAAAACGCATAACATTAAAAAATAGTATATAATAAGCCAACAAATAATATTACATGTATTCGGACGTTCCCACCTCTTTACATGAGAATACATCATCCCTCCACAACAGCAACTAAACATTGCGACAACGGTAACTGCATATCCTCAGTTAAGAAGTTCATTGTCTCTAAATGTTACATTAATAAAGCTTGTATAATAACATAATTCCTTACGAAACATGTATTCCGCTAACCTTGATGGGTCTGTGGCGCTCTGGTTGATAGATTCGGAACCAGAAGAAAGCCCCGATGCATCCCAGCCCGGCCAGACTTCCAGCGAAGGAGAGATAGTTGATGAGAACCCGCACGTCGGAGGTCACAAACATCATTATTGAGATAGTGGCCTGGGAAAAGTAGGGACTGCGTTAGTACAGGACGACATGTTTTCCCTGCTTACCGGTCTGCAACTTGACGTTATGTTTCCACGACATCTTGCTGACATGGGAATAATATAAAGATTTATATGATGATTTTTATAATGAGCTATTTGACAAAACCTAGCTGACACTGACACTGTTGTTCTGACACTGACAAGTCCAACTGAGAAAGGACTGATTAATGCAACTGGAAAAGGATTGACTTCCCCAGGTGGCCTAGAATATGAGGAATGCAGAAGGAAGTCATATTCTGTATATTATGCACTTATATTACCATATCCTGCATTGAGTTGGAGTCAGAGATGAAATCTTTTTAAAAAGTACTTGCATTGGTTACATATAAAAAAATTACGTTATTTCTTTCTTAAGCCTTATTTATTTTTTAACAAATAAATGACAAATTCTTGCCATCGTAGAATCCTAAGTTCCATAAGAATCTGGAAACTCGATGATATACAAATAATATAGATATTCAAAGTTGTAACACGTACAAAGAGAGAGAGAGAGAGAGAGAGAGAGAGAGAGAGAGAGAGAGAGAGAGAGAGAGAGAGAGAGAGAGAGAGAGAGAGAGAGAGAGAGAGAGAGAGAGAGAGAGAGAGAGAGAGAGAGAGAGAGAGAGAGAGAGAGAGAGAGAGAGAGAGAGAGAGAGAGAGAGAGAGAGAGAGAGAGAGAGAGAGAGAGAGAGAGAGAGAGAGAGAGAGAATAACTCTCCCATCCAAGGGATTGATAGAGACTCACGCTAAAAGCGAGGGCAGTGACGGGAGTGTAGTTCTCAGTGTGGATGAAGGAGAGGGCCCGAGGCAGGTGGCCGCGCCTCGAACTAACGAGGATGAGTCTGGCGCTGGAGAAGATGGAGCCGTTGAGACCCCCGCCGGTCGAGCAGCCCACGAAGATAGGGATGGTCCACGCCATCACCCCCAGGGTCAGGTTGCCGAATGTCTGTTTGTGCCCAAGCGAATTAATTACACCGTCCTGTGCATTACAACAACCACTACCACCACCACCTCGTTGACACCAACCACTGCAGAATTACCATTACTCACACCCACCACTACATCTCTACAATCACAATCATATAAACTACAACAACATTACGGAAATAGACATGAAGTTTGTATGGATTGTTACGATTTACATTTAAATCTTTAATAATTAATTGTTGTGTCAAGAAATTTTGAAACGTATTGAATGAGTCGTGGTGAACCCACAATTATGTTCTCATTTTTATTAATATTACACTTTGTTCAGAGGTAAAGTATGCCTGGTCAGAATGCTAGTATCCTCACCTCAATATTCCTTCAGAGTTTTTAGTCCTCGAGGTATTTCCTGGTCTGTGGGAATGTGAAATCTGTGAAAAGTTGAGGTACATAAGTATGTAACTCATTACTGTTATTCCTTTCCTCTTGTGTTTGCCAGTATCAATAACCCTTCTACAGTCTGCTAGGAGCATTAGTGTTGCTTGTTTTTCAGCTGAAAGTAAGAACGTAAATGCAGCGAAGAAAATGTTTATCGTATAAACTGATATAGATTGCCTGAAAATGGAGTTTACGGTTTTCTTTCAGTGCAAATGTAACACAGTAGAGTCAGTATTACTGGTACAATAAATTTATGTAGATGAGTTTTATTCTACAAAGAACCGACTTGACTGAGAGCCAAAATGTCTCTATCATTTTCTAGTTTAATGATATTCACTACTCAGACAAGCTCTTAATTGTTCTTCTTTCTCCTTCAGAGATTTTGTAGAGCAACGTGAAGTGCTTGAGGCCGAGTGAAGATAATTCGGGAGAAGGAAATTGTCCGGATATCAGATTAAGCTTATTAAAGATATTTAGTTATCTGTGATTGGAAATGACCTTTATTAAGGCACTTGAAATTATTCTTTCATATTATTCTTCATATTTATGTGTATGATATATGCTTTTGATGTTTAATGCGGATGACTTTTATGCGGAGCCCTGTATGACTGACTCCGTTAGCCACACATACATACATGCATGTTCATACATGCCGTAACAAAGAGTGCTGTACTTAGCCATTTAAGACATTTCTGGTTTGAGGAAAGGTTTACACCCACATGCACCACTTACAAGTACCATCACATGTGTAAATTAGTAACTCAGGCTGCTGACATTTGTTCTTGGTAACTAACAAAATAAGATACTGAAAGGATAAAATTCCTAGAGTGTAACTTTAGCCTTACGCCGATGAAAACGCCAAAGACATATATATATATATCCATCTCTTACGCATAGATATTCTAGTGAGAGTCATAGAGAGATATCAGTATGATATCTTCCCACACACATGCAAATAAAAAAGCATTACCCCCCACCACTACCATGCCTCCCAATGAAGCATTACCACTCCCTCACACCTGCCAGAACAGCATTACTATCACAACCACCTCCATAGCACTTACCACAGTAGTAAGATAGCACTTACCTTTCCCCGCACAACTTCCACACCTCAAAAGATAACATTGCCACGCCCTTCACACCTTCAACATTACCAACACTACCAACAACACACGTACCACAGCCACGGCGGTAGAGGCGAGCATCTGGTCAGTAGACAGGACTGCGAAGTAGGAGACGTTGGTGAGGACGTAGATCACCATGACGCTGGTGATGGAGATGGCGACGGCCCTCGGCATGTTCCTGTTATAATGAGAACAAAGTTCACTAGTGAATTGCTCATTGCGTTCCTGAGGGCGCGCTCCCGCACTGTTTAAATTCCTTACTCAAAGGTGTGTGTGTGTGGGTGTGTGTACTCACCTATTTGTGCTTGCGGGGATGAGCTCTGGCTCTTTGGTCCCGCCTCTCAACTGTCAATCAACCGATGTATAGATTCCTAAGCATATTGGGCTCTATCATATCTACATTTGAAACTGTGTATGGAGTCAGCCTCCACCACATCACTGATGAATGCATTCCATCTGTTAACTACTCTGACACTGAAAAAGTTCTTTCTAACGTCTCTGTGGCTCATTTGGGTACTCAGTTTCCACCTGTGTCCCCTTCTTCGCGTACCACCTGTGTTGAATAGTTAATCCTTGTTTAACCGGTGGATTCCCCTGAGGATTTTGTAGGCTGTGATCATGTCTCCCCTTACACTTCTGTCTTCCAATGTCGTAAGGTGCATTTCCCGCAGCCTTTTCACGTAACTCATGCCTCTTAGTTCTGGGACTAGTCTAGTGGCATAACATTGGACCAAGGGGAGATTCCATCTGGGCCTATAGCCTTTGTCACATCCAACTCTAGTAAACACTTCCTTACTTCCCCGCTAGTAATCTCAAACTCTTCCAGTGGTTCCTGGTTAGCTATTCCCTCTCTTATCCCTGGAATTTCTCCTTGCTCTAAGGTGAAGACCTCCTGGATTTTCTTATTCAGTTCCTCACACACTTACTTGTCGTTTGTAGTGAATCCTTCTGCCCCTATCCTTAATTTCATAACCTGTTCCTTTACAGTTGTTTTTCTCCTGATGTGGCTATGCAGCAATTTAGGCTGAGTCTTTGCCTTGCTTGCGATGTCATTTTCGTATTGTCTTTCTGCCTCTCTTCTCATCCTGACATATTCATTCCTGGCATTCTGGTATCTTTCTCTGCTCTCCAGTGTCCTGTTATTCCTATAGTTTCTCCATGCCCTTCTACTTTGCTGCTTAGCTAGCCTACATCTCTGATAAAACCATGGGTTTCTCATCTTCATTTAACTGTTTTCCTTTTGGACTGGGACAAACTTGTTTGCTGCTTCCATGCACTTCTGCGTGATGTATTCCATCATGTCTTGGGCCGTCTTTCCCCTGAGCTGTGTGTGTGTGTGTGTGTGTGTGTGTGTGTGTGTGTGTGTGTGTGTGTGTGTGTGTGTGTGTGTGTGTGTGTGTGTGTGTGTGTGTGTTTGTGTGTGTGTGTGTGTGTGTGTGTGTGTGTGTGTGTGTGTGTGTGTGTGTGTGTGTGTGTGTGTGTGTGTGTGTGTGTGTGTGTGTGTGTGTGTGTGTGTGTGTGTGTGTGTGTGTGTGTGTGTGTGTGTGTGTGTGTGTGTGAGGGTTTGTGTGTGTGTGTGTGTGTGTGTGTGTGTACTCACCTAGTACTCACCTAGTTCTGTTTGCGGGGGTTGAGCTCTGGCTCTTTGGTCCCGCCTCTCAACCGTCAATCAACAGGTGTACAGATTCCTGAGCCTATCGGGCTCTATCATATCTACACATGAAACTGTGTATGGAGTCAGCCTCCACCACATCACCCCCTAATGCATTCCATTTGTCAACCACTCTGACACTAAAAAAGTTCTTTCTAATATCTCTGTGGCTCATTTGGGCACTCAGTTTCCACCTGTGTCCCCTTGTGCGTGTTCCCCTTGTGTTAAATAGACTGCCTTTATCTACCCTATCAATTCCCTTCAGAATCTTGAATGTGGTGATCATGTCCCCCCTGATCATGTGTGTGTGTGTGTGTGTGTGTGTGTGTGTGTGTGTGTGTGTGTGTGTGTGTGTGTGTGTGTGTGTGTGTGTGTGTGTGTGTGTGTGTGTGTGTGTGTGTGTGTGTGTGTGTGTGCGTTCACCTAGGTTTACTCACCATGATATTCTTTTAGGATCTGTTTAAATTTGTTTGTACTTTTCAAGTGGGGGGGGGGATTACATGCCGTCTGAAAAGTACTGGTGGCATACAACTATGGCACTGCAATAAGTGACGGGATATTCAAGAGAGGGTCTCACATTAAATGTGTAGATGATTCACAAGATTCCTTGCTCAAAATTTTCAAAAGTTTTATTCACTTTGACCAGTTTGTCATAGACTGGTAAAGGTTAAGCTACTAAAGTATGCCTCACGCATTGCATCTCTGGTATATCACACCCAGGATTTTCTCCATTGACGCAAACCGAAACAGTATGGGCCCAAGTAGAGTTCTTTTCCACTCCACTTTTATTTATTTTTTTCCACTCTAATATTTACGGTTCTCATTGTAACGTTTTGCTTCCTTCCTGAGAGATCCACCCTTGATGCATCTCTCAGGAAGGAAGTAATGTATTTTAGCATTAATCCACTTACTGTATCATAATGCACAGTAGTTTTTTTGTAGAAACGGACGGTGAATTGTACCAGACATTGAACATTTATGGAGTGAAAGGATTTCAGTAGTCCATTCATACTTCTACAACTATACATGAAATTGAGGTCAATGAACAAAATAATTTGCACATAACTGATGTGTATGGTAGGTATTTTCTGAATGGAAAAATGACAATAATGATACGGATGTGTTTGTCAACAATATGGAAACATTACTAGATGAATCCAAAAAGGATTAATTCTCTCCTACATATGTTCCTAAAAAGGATTTGCTATAGAATTTCAGAAATTACATGCATATATAAAAAAATCAGTAAAGAGAGCAGAAAGTTGACGATAGAATTAAATTTTTATAAACGACACAAAATGAAAATAATGAGAACAAAAATAAAATCTATATAAACTACACAATGGAACAAGAATAAGAATCAAATACAGTAATGACTATCGTGATTCTTTCTCACACGAAAAAACAACAACATTTAAACGCTGAAGTAAAAGTATTCTGGGAAATTTTGTCAAGTGTTAGAAAAGCCTCTAAGTACAATGTATAAATATTAGAGACATTTATATACAGTGTTTAAAATTGGGAATAAATCTATACTAGATTACAAATGGTTGAGAGGCATACAATAAAATGAGTTCCTGAAAATAGAAATCTTAAAGCAGTAAGAAAAGAGTAAGGTGTGTCAAACCCAGACTGGAAGTCTTGGTAATAATAATATAAGCTGGACTTAATCAAGCGAGTTGTGGCATGATGAACTAAACTCATTAGGAGGCTGCTTGTGCTAAACGCAATAGAGGTCTACTAATATTTACCATAAAATATAGATGAGAAATGGGATACATAGAGCATAAATATTGGCTTGTAGCTGATAATAGCAAAGCGGTAATAGCATAAACACACACAAGAAAATATCGTAGTATGATGACTTACTTGAACGGGTCCTTAAGTTCTTCCATGATCATATTCAGACTGTCCCTGGAATATTATTTATCATTATTTTGTGAGTTAAGTATTGCTGTAAATCATGGCTGGAATAGCAAAGAAAAAGGAAGATATAAAAAGAAAAAAAAAACGAAGAAAATTATGAAAAAGTAAGAAATAAATATTTCAAGCAGAAGAAGTTTATACATTTTTCAATATTTCTAATGTTTGTCCTTGTTTGGAACTCCGAATCAATAACAATAGGGCACTGACATAATCCGCATTCCTCGATTGTATATATATATTTTCTTACCTGAATAAATTGCTTGGTAATATATAGAAACATAAAACTGACAAACATTAAAGAAAATGTAGTTCAATTAGCCATACTGAGATAGTCTTGAAGCCGAACTGATGTGGAGTACAGAGGCTACTCTGAATTGTGTCACTGTCCATAATTAATGCTCAAAGTAGCCAATACAAATTCATCAATGTATTTTGAATGATTTATTTTAAAAGCCGCCGAAATAATCATACATTGACAACTGTCTGTCCACCTTCCAAATGAATGATATAACAGGTAGACTGTCTGTGTTTATCCACCACCTAATTATACATATCAATAATTAGTAATCTAATGCAACCATTTACTCATCGGCACACAAAAGTACCTGCTCTTTAACAGACGCCGACTGTCATAATTTCCAGCTCAGTACACACAGGAGGCAGACTCGTACACAAACATTATCCTCACCAGCCGTCATAGGCGTATAGCGTGTGATAGAACGCCGTGGCTATGAGAACGGGACTATAGTTGCTGCCGGCCATCGGGTCATGGAAGTGCTGGCTACGACCCCACGCCAGATGGTTGATACCGACCACGATAATCATGATGAGGGCCAACACCTTCGTCAGGGCCAATACATCTTGCACCGTCGTCGCCCATTTCACCTTCCTTGAGTTGATCCAAGTTAGCATAACTGGGGAGACGACGGACACACATCCTCAAGTTATTACAGAAATGGGTCAGATCTGAGAAGAGTATCAGTGTGTGAAGACAAATGAGAGAAATACAAACTGTCACTCTAACGTATGGCACAGTCGTGCGAGTATCGTTCAGACATTTATAATGCCACGAGATTCACACGAGATATTAGAGAAAGAAAATTTTATGGCTCCTGAAGACGTAGGCAATACTTTAGACGCTTCGGCTAAAAATATTACATAATCTAAGGAGTAGTGACGTGGGCTTTTGGGAAGTCGATTTGGTGAATATATTAAAAAAATCCACTGTATGTTTCGTATAAAGTATTAAACATGCTCATTATCATTTAATTTGTGCACATAATTAAAAACATACACGAAAATCTATTTTCACGTGATTTCCTGACATGAAGTTCAAGTTAGCATTCAGCTTGAAACCATGTACTTAACACACTCACTCTCAAACCCTGAGCCCAAGACACTCACCCTCAAAACCTGAAAATTATGCTCCTATTATTGCTGGCTCACACACTAACCGATGAGGAGAATCCCAACGATCCTGATAGCGGACTGTGGAGGTTCCTGACAGCCGGGAAAGAATGGCTGGAGGATGTAGTTAGCGAAGGTGAGCGCCCCGATGGCCCGGCCGCCCGGGATGCCGATCATCACCACCATCCACAGGTAGAGGAAGGCTGGCAGGGGTCCGAACGCCTCGTGCAAGTATGTGTAGTTACCCCCGCTCTGTGGGATCATCGTGCCTGGGAAGTAAATCCTGAATTACACTTGGTAATTAGCTCTAAATGTTAGACTTTTCGACCGTCGGTTGTTTAAGCACCGATTCTTGGCCCATTTTCTCTATCATATGTACTATATTACATACACCAACACGCATGTGGTCGTAGACTTATATGGCCCTGGTTCGATTTCCTGGGTTAAGCAGAACAAATGGGTAGAGTTTTCTCTCTTGCTGCTTCTCTTCACCTTGCAGTAAATAGGTACCGGGGAGCTGGAAAGCTCCTACTGGCTACAACATGGGTAGTGACACACACACACACACACACACACACACACACACACACACACACACACACACACACACACACACTTGGAAATGTTAGGTAATGAAACTAGGAGGAGGAACTAGGGGGCCAGTCACTGAATACCGAATGGGAGATGAAGTCCTTCACGAAACTGGCAGAGAGAAAGATCTAGGAATTGATATCACGCCAAACATGTCTCCTGAAGCCCACATCAAAAGAATAATATCAGCAACCTATGCGAGGCTGGCTAACATCAGAACTGCTTTCAGAAACCTGTGTAAGGAATCCTTCAGAACCTTGCATACCACAAATGTAAGACCAATCCTGGAGTATGTGGCCCTAGCATGGAGCCCGTACAAAGTCAAGCACAAGACGAAGCTGGAAAAAGTTCAGAGGTATGCCACTAGGCTAGTCCGAGAACTAAGAGGCATGTGTTATGAGGACAGACTGCGTGAACTGCACCTTACGTTGGTGGAAGACAGAAGAGCTAGGGGAGACATGATCACCACATACACAATTTTCAGGGGAATTGAGAGCGTAGACAAGGATCGATTATTTAACACGGGTGGAACACGCACAAAGGGACACAGGTGGAAGCTGAGGACCTAAATGAGCCACAGAGACATTAGAAAGAACTTTTCCAGTGTCAGAGTAGCTAGTAAATGGAATAAACTAGGAAGTTATGTGGTGGAGGCTGACTCCATACACAGTTTCAAATGTAGATATGATAGAGCCCAGTAGGCTCAGGAATCTGTACATCAGTTGATTGATGGTTGAGAGGCGGGACCAAAGAGCCAAATCTCAACCCCCGCAAGCACAACAAGGTGAGTACAACTAGGTGAGTACACACAAACACACACACACACACACACACACGCACACACATCTGTACATCAGTTGATTGACGGTTGAGAGGCGGGACCAAAGAGCCAGAGCTCAACCCCCGCAAACACAACTAGGTGAGTACATACACACACACACACACACACACACACACACACACACACACACACACACACAGGGAGCAGGAAGCCAGGTACAAGGTACCTTTTGCGAAATTAAATTCTTCTACAATCAGAGAGATAGACCTGGGGGTTGATATCCTGCCAGACCTGTTCCCAGAAGCCCATATCATGTGGATAATGTTAACGGCATATGACAGGTTAGCCATCATAAGAACGGCCTTAAGAAACTTGGGTAAGGAATCATTCAGAACCTTGTATACCACGTATGTCAAACCAATTCTTGAGTACGCAGCTCCGGCATGGAGTCCATATCTCATCAATCATAAGACTAAATTGGAGAAGGTTGAGAGGTGTGCCACCAGACTAGTGCCCGAACTGAGGTGCATGAGCTATGAAGAGAGACTACGGGAATTAAACCTCACGTCGCTGGAAGACAGAAGAGTTAGAGGGGACATGATTATTACATACAAGATTCTCAAATGAATTGTCAGGGTAGACAAATACAGTTTATTTATCACATGGAGCACACGCACTACGGGACACAGGTTGAAATTGAGTGCCCAAACAAGCCATATAAATACTTAAAAGATTTTTAGTGTCAGAGTAGTTAATAAATGGAATAAATTAAGAAGTAAATTAGAGCCTAATAGGCCTAGGAACCTGTACACCAGTTGATTGACAGTTGAGAGGCGGGGGCCAAAGAGCCCGTACAACTAAACCCCACAAGTACAACTAGGTGAGTACAACAAGGTGAATACAACTAGGTGAATACTCGCACACACACATAAATAAATGTATATCGGCATGGCATCCACTGAGGTGAAGTGGTTTATCCTTGGGACATTCAACCTTTCCCCTGGCTATTCTCATCCAAGGTGACGCGTTCCTAATGGCACATTACTCCCTTTTATTCCGAAACGTGTAATCAAAACCGGTATCTTCAACCGTATACATTAATTGTATTACAAATTATACCATTGTGTATATAGTTTGGCCTTGGGAAAGGTAAGCCAAGTATTTTGCTGTCGCGACAGGTATTGGTATTTACTACACGTTGGCACATCACGTTGAGAGGCACGCTCCAAACACCACGTTGAGAGGTACGCTCCAAACACCACGTTGAGAGGTACGCTCCAAACACCACGTTGAGAGGTACACTCCAAACATCACGTTGAGAGGTACGCTCCAAACACCACGTTGAGAGGTACGCTCCAAACATCACGTTGAGAGGTACGCTCCAAACATCACGTTGAGAGGTACGCTCCAAACACCACGTTGAGAGGTACGCTCCAAACACCACGTTGAGAGGTACGCTCCAAACATCACGTTGAGAGGTACGCTCCAAACATCACGTTGAGAGGTACGCTCCAAACACCACGTTGAGAGGTACGCTCCAAACATCACGTTGAGAGGTACGGTCCAAACACCACGTTGAGAAGAACGCTCCAAACATGGTTGTCAACTGTAGAGTGATCTTTCCTAGGCAACTAGGTTGAGGATGGGGCTCTGATATCACTGAGGTGTTTGCAACTCTGACAATGCGTCCATTACGTGGCCGGAGCCCAAGGGGAATTTTTGCAGGGCAATTGACAATGGACGAGTCATGCAATCTAAGCTCACATCCGCTATCTACTGAGCTGGCAATTCGTCCACGTTTGTATCCAACCAGTCTATAAGAACGAGCGGGCTAGTTCTAAGCATAATTTTGTATCAATAACCAAAGGTATCAATAGCGAAATTTGGTTCCCATAAATGCACTGCTGTCATAAATTAAATAAATTCAGATAATTACAGGAATTGCATCACCTCCACTTTTAATGATAAAAGCGGCTTTTGCAAATTTCCTAAAGCACAGATCGAGTTACTTGCTAAATATTAATATTAATTCGAGAGTGGATGTTAATTGAAGATGATGTTTACCTGTGAGGTTTTCATGTAATCTAACACAAATGTATTTTTCTGTTAGAATGTATTAGAAAGTCAGTTTAAATAGTAAAAGACGCTCTACATGTAATGGCTTTATATTGAGTAAGTCAGGTAGTTCTTCTCGATGTGACTCTTGTGAACACATCGTGGTGCAGTCGGTAGTGCGTGTGTACTCACCTAGTTGTGCTTGCAGAGGTTGAGCTCTGACACTTTGGTCCCGCCTCTCATCTGTCAGTCAACTGATGGACAGATTCCTGAGCCTACTGGGCTCTATCATATTTACATTTGAAACTGTGTATGGAGTCAGCCTCCACCACATCACTGCCTAATGTATTCCATCTGTTAACTACTCTGACACTGAAACACTGTTTGTGAAGAGTCTTGAGATGCAAATTTGTTATGGTTGTAATATTTTCCGATAGATATATCACGTTGCAGTTTTTAAATTTTGTAACATATGTTTACATCTCCGTTAGATTTTATACTGTTTATAGATTTATTGAAAAATAAATTTGTCAATAGTATACGATGTTTTATCTGTTTGGGCTTTATATATTCTACCAGAGATTTAAAGGACTTGCTCTTATAAATTTCATAATGTTTCGTTAGCTGGCATATTATGTTCTAATGAAGTGTACTCTGATCTCAGTGTTTCACTGTGTTGTTGTTATCAGTTTGAGCTCTTAAAGACCCCTTGAAAACTATTACACTGATTAGTTATTTACTTCCATAAATATTCATGGTTTGCTTAATAAGACGCATCTTAATATTTTATTAATATAATTAATCGAATGTTATCATTTACAAGTAATTTTCACATTGTAACGGGGGCCAGCCTTAAATCTCGCTTACTGGTTAAATGCTGGTCGTTATTAATTTAATATATACAGAAACTAGAGTTCCACTGTGTAACCAAATAGTTCACCTCCTCAAGATCTAAACGTTTGACCGTTTAGCTGTCACGCTAGAGGATACTGTACCCTTCTATGCTACTCTGCAATCCTCTGAAAACGTCGCCACCACCTGATACCCACTGAGTAATTTCCTCAATTGACGGTGGAGCAGGATACCATCAACTAGGTATAAACCCCGAAAATGGATCCCCAGGTTATCGGAACACGATGGGATAAGATTTACGTTTAGTGTGGAAATTAAATCTAAGTTCAAAGGGATCATTTTAGGTATTAATTTAATCCTTGCAGGCTTGCACTGGATGCTTTGTCTCAAGCATGAGATTGAGCCCATCAACATCAACAGAACGTATAAAATACACGTCGGGGGAAAATTCCACCAAACACCATAATATTCTAAACAAAATTTATTAAATCAAAGGTTATTAATAAAAATAAAATAATATAACATTTCCTAAGCTGAATACTTTCCTAACTTAATATTTTCCTTAACTGAGGCACTTGGCAATTAACTACAACAATTAATGTGGATTTCTACACTGCAATTTAACTAGAAACAGAACAGTTACCTTAAATACCACAGGGAAACCAGTTGTTCAATCTTGGCCTCTGAGAGATGTTGACCCTAGGCTGACCTCAACACACTGAAAAACCTCTTCACACTGACCTAGTGGGTGGCTGACCCCGGCTAGTTGCCAGATTAATCTTTGGAAATTATTACTAACTAAAATCCAGTATTTGTCACTAAAGGTGACTCTATTATCCCCAAAACACTTGGGAATAATCTAAATACTCGAGCCAGGCTAATTACAATACTCAGTAGCACTTGTATTTCACTAATTTACATGGTTAAACAAACAAAAAGATAGGTACCTATTTTCCAATGATGAAATATGTTTTACCTATTTCAGATCTTACTGAAGTCAAATGCTTCTTTGCTAACATACAAGACTTATTCATTAATCTCCATATACGTTAATTTTAACATAAGAACTTAACCCCCATTGATAATTCCTACTAATTCTGTAATATATTCATAATTCTCCTAGTTCGATGACTTGACACAGGAGGAGGTTGGCGCCACCGTTTTCTACACTCTAATCACTAGAGATGAACCAGGCTACCAGTCAGGTCACTACAACTCTCTTTCAATATTTCATGTTAGATCTTATAGACTCTCAATATTAACAGTCCTACTGTTACAACATTGAAAATATTTGTTAAGCCTTTATACAACAAACAAAAATGCGCGAATTAGACATAACATTTGTCGTCTCTGTTTTGTCCTACACCTAATTGTGAAAATTGATATGAACATTAGGTGTTGCAGACGATGAGTTACAATAACGTAACTGAAGAAATAATGACCAAACCGTAACTCAGAGGGAGAAGCTACGACATTTCGGTCCGTTCTGGACCATTATTAAGTCGTGTGAAAGCGCACGACTTGACAATGGTCGTGCACGGTTCGAGACGACGCCGTTTTTCCCTCTTCTGAGTTGGTGTTGGGTGTATACCCAGCTTCTCCGTTATATACACTGAGAGTTTACGTTCACCCTAGACCATGTTCATTACGTGAATAATAGTCAATAAACTCAAGTTTATTGGCTATTATTATGACTCAAGAGAGTCCTGGTGTGAACTCTATGCCAACACAAAACAAACTAAAATGAGGTCCCTGCTCTTTCACGAACAATCTATTGTTACTAATGTCATTATGAGACTTCATTGTATTTCCTTTGCCACTTTCAGCTGTGTGTGACACATGTTCGTTTATAATGACAATAGTGTTTGTATTCCCGCTTTATAATACTAAGTGCTGTTTTGTTGTAGTCAACAATATAGATAGTTTTTTATCTGATGATTTTTTTATGTAATTATTAGGTGAACGAAGTATAGTTCACTTTTATATTACACAATTATGCTGTTAAACGTTATTCTAATGTTCGTTTACATTGTGGTTATCAAATTTTTCATCAAAAACATTGTCCAAAAACTGTTTTTAATCACTTGTCTCTATTTATGTTTTTTCAGAGTCGGAATTATATAATACGTGTTAATGGTTTTGGGAGAGTGAACCTTTAAATATAAAAAAATAATTAGTTGTTGATTTATGTAAATATTTATATAATACAAATATTAATATATTTAAAAAATGATATACTAACCGAAGGGTGAACCTTCAGCTTTCACTTGCAATGATCTAAAAAAAATGACAGCAACTGAAGGCTCTTATAAGAATTTTTTTAAATAATACTTCTAAGCTTTCAAACTTTATTGAATATGCATTATTGAATGATCTTTATAAATAAGATGCCAACACCGATTAACTTGAAATATTTAATATTCATAGAATAACATCACCTAATACCAAACAAGAACTGAAAACAAGAAATGGTGTTTGACAACAAAAATGTAGGAGTACTTACCCAGCTCGGTGTAACAGATTGCTCCAATCATAGACACGAATCCCGAGGCGACCCACACAGACAGGGACATACCCACGCTGCCAGCGTAGTGCAGCACTGTCCTTGGGGACACGAAGATGCCCGAGCCGATAATATTGCCAATGATAAGTCCCACACAGTTCAGAAGCCCGAGTTCCTTTCTCAGCTTCACTGGCCCGCTGGGGGCCTCGATACACCCCGCCTTCAGCCCGACATCTAAAGTTTTCCGGGTTTTGCTCTCCATGTTCCCCTGTTTGGATTTCTCGGCTTTAATTTCTTGTTTTGCATGCTCTTCGTTTTCTTTCTGTTCTAGTCCTTGGTTCAAGATTCTTTGTTTTTTGGTTCTGGCTGGCACACGAGGACGCGCGTGGCTCACTTCATTGGGAGAATGATTTTCAGATTTGTGTACACTGGCTTCTGTAGATTCCGCTTCTTCTGTTGCGGGAGTTTCGTCGGATTTTGGACTGGTGGGCGAAAGCTCTCCTCCATCGTGGATTATAAAGCCAAAGTTCGGCTTAACTGGTGACTGTGCAAGGTCCTTCTCCCGTTGGTCCGCGACTTTGGGTGCTGATTTTTTAGTTTCTTCCTCAGTACTTGTCGAGTTGAGGATTGGGGAAGGAATCTTCGCAGTCGTTCCGGAACCTTCAGTCGTTGCGCGGACGTCCATGATGGAGCTGCCACTGCCAAGCTAGTCCAACGCTCAGCGCACAACTCCGCTTCCCCCCACCACCTCACCATCCCCAACCTTCACCACCGACGATAACAACTGTGTCACCCCAAGCTGCCTGACGTAGGATGCGCAAGTGTAACAATTTCATTCCAATATTTAGGTATTAAGTTTTTTTTAAGATAGAGTTTATAAAGCAAATTCATCCGTTGCAAATGTGCGAATAACTTTTAAAAGCAAGGTCAAAACAGGATGTCAGCCAGCTTGAGGCGCAGTTAGAAATAATGCAATTGTTTCAGAAAGATATTCCATGACATCATTGAAGCTCCAGGCTGAACACCTTTTTTTCCGTAAGTTCAGTATTAACAAATCAACAAGAATAATTTTCAAATGATTACAATCGAAGTTTATATATATATATATATATATATATATATATATATATATATATATATATATATATATATATATATATGTCGTACCTAGTAGCCAGAACGCACTTCTCAGCCTAATATGCAAGACCAAATTTGCCTAATAAGCCAAGTTTTCCTCAATTAATATATTTTCTCTAATTTTTTTCTTATGAAATGATAAAGCTACCCATTTCATTATGTATGATGTCAATTTTTTTTATTGGAGTTAAAATTAACGTAGATATATGACCAAACCTAACCAACCCTACCTAACCTAACCTAACCTATCTTTATAGGTTAGGTTAGGTTAGGTAGCCGAAAAAGTTAGGTTAGGTTAGGTTAGGTAGGTTAGGTAGTCGAAAAGCAATTAATTCATGAAAACTTGGCTTACTAGGCAAATTTGGCCTTCCATAGTAGGCTGAGAAGTGAGTTCTGGCTACTAGGTACGACATATATATATATATATATATATATATATATATATATATATATATATATATATATATATATATATATATATATATATATATATATATATATATAGATAGATATTGTCAAAACATTGTGAAATTAACCACATTTTGATGGATTGCCATTAAAACTATTAAACTTTACACTGAAGATAGTGTACATCACAATCCAAGATTTATTTTGGTACATTAGCTCGCAATATTCCGATCCCGTTGCGTTGCACCGATGAATACTTAACGAATCTCTCACTATTCATTAATTCAGGCCAACGGGTTAATGTAACACTACTACTGCTACTCACAACAAGAGTAACATCAGTGGTAAATAATAATGGTAGTGAATAGTTATATGGTACTACATAATTAAATTAGCATATACAAATGCTAATAATTGGAATAATTATGTTTAGGATGATAATAATTTAGGATTATAACACACATTATTGGAATAATAAGGATTTTTAGGATTTAGGTTAAACGTTGTTTAACCACGTTGTTTAAACGTTGTTGGGGGAAGGACAGCTACTGTGATAGCAAAAAGTTTATCCTTGTGGTAGGTAGTGGAGGGAGTAGGATGTGCCTAGTATTAAGGTCGCCACCTTAACAGGGTGCCCCAGTTGTGTATTAAAACCATCTGGACTATATATATATGAGGAACAAGGTGAGGCAGGATAAAAACATTTTCACCAAAAAACTCTCTTAACATAATTTCTGATCAAATGAGACGTTTGAACTGGTGTAAAGACTTCGCTTGACTTCAGTATTCTAATACAGCAATCCTTTCAGTACTTATTGCTCCGACAGATAAGTTAGTAACTATATGATGAAGTAGGGATAATATCCATGAATATATCGGAGGAAAAGTTTCCTACTTCCCCTGTAGTCCAGCGACCATGTGGGATACACGATGTTACTGCCCAAGTGAAAGTTGAGTTGCTGCCGACAAACTGGTTTGTCCACACACACACACACACACACACACACACACACACACACACACACACACACACACACACACACACACACACACACACACACACACACACACACACACACACACACACACCTCACATCGCTTCTCCTCGTATGAGCTACGAGGAGAGACTACGGGAACTAAACCTCACGTCACTGGAAGAAAGAAGAGTTTGGAGGGATATGATCACCACACACTTAAGATTCTCAGGGGAATGGATTGGGTAGATAAAGAATATTTATTTAACACAGGGGGACACACTCACAAGGAGACACAGGGTGGAAACTGAGTACCCAGATGATCCATAGAGATATTAGAAAGAACCTTTTAAGTATCAGTGTAGTTAACAAATGGAATGCATTAGGAAGTGATGTGGTGAGGTTGACTCAGTACACAGTTCCAAGTGTAGATATGATAGAGCCTAATAGGCTCAGGAATCTTTACACCAGTTGATTGACAGTTGAAAAGCTGGACGAGAGAGCCGAAGCTCAACACCCGCAATCACAACTATGTAACAAGAGAGCAGTACAGAGTAGAGCAACATGAACATCATAACAGCATGAGCAAACCACAGTCGCGGCGGCTGACACGCGGCCCCAGACTATGGAAAAGTTGCACCTCTGTACAAGTTAACCATAGGGACAGGTCAACGGTCATAGAGTCACGAGAAGGTCAGAGTTGATGCCGTCATGATAATCTACAGGGATTAATCTTTCCACATCTAATGCAACCCCTCATGTTCAGCTGGGGAGCAGGAGATCATGGCAAGAGGACAGTAGAGTGGGAGAAGCCCAGGAGGACAGTGTGGGTGGACAACGGGAGAGAACATCTCCAGAAAACTTGAGGAACGCCATTCGAGTAAGTACAGCTCTCTTGAACTAAAGCACCTTATCATTTATATATTCTTTGCCTCGGTTAGGGAATATAGTTAGGAAAGTGTCTATTTAATTATTTGAAATTAAGTCAAATATTGTAAAATGTCATTACCGTGTGTATTAATGGTTCCATGTCTTCGTGATAATGGGCCTACCGTCCTCTTTGCCCTGGTGACCTAGTGTCCTTAATTATCCAGTCTTCCTCCCACCGTCCGTCCCTTGGTGAGGTGTTGGTATTGAGTGTGTCTCGCCTTATTCTTGTGTACTTTATAGTTCCCAAGTGGTCAGGATTATTCGAGTGACTGGCCAAGATCCATTCAACTGTCCCACACACCGGTCCTGGTAGGATTACACAATCTACAAGTCTTACGAATCTCACTCCGGTCCCCTGTCCGGTAACTCAGGGTGGTGGCAGCTTTACTTGGTAACTCATGCGAAGGCTGTAGCAACTAATATCTCGCTCTCCTTCATTAGTTTTCACTCTCCCTACCTGGGTTCTCACTCTACCTCCCCAGGTTCTCACTCTCCTTCACTAGTTTCTCTCTCTCCCTCTCCCTCACTTGTTTCTCTCTCTCCCTCACTCGCTCTTACTCTCCCTCACTCGCTCTCACTCACTTGCTCTCTCTCCCTCTCTCTCTCTCTCTCTCTCTCTCTCTCTCTCGCTCTCTCTCTCTCTCTCTCTCTCTCTCTCTCTCTCTCTCTCTCTCTCTCTCTCTCTCTCTCTCTCTCTCTCTCTCTCTCTCTTCTCTATATTTATATATATATATATATATATATATATATATATATATATATATATATATATATATATATATATACATACATATATACACAAATATGCCAGTAAAGCAATGAAGTACTGCAAAGGAGGTATATACTCTGTTTATGAGGTGAAAGTGACCTTACTCTCAATATTAACCAAAGGTGAGGCTAGGAATATTTTTTATTTAGTCGGCTAGATTCAGACTGTCAATGAAACGTCACTCTAAATGTCAATATGTTTTAGTTCTCTGAATTATTTGCGGTTGATTTCGAGAGTTCTTCGACTCACACAGCTATTTTTCTGGTGGGGGACCAGGCTTGGTCTGGTGTTTGTCTAGTCTCTGAGGTTGTTTGTCTCGTTGTGTTACTGAGCCAGATTAGCATTGTTCTCATGTGAAAATTAAGGATCAAAATTAATTAAGGAAATTAAGGATTATGGTGGGCATAGCATTTTACCAAATCAGTAACCAAGATTACTATCCGAGTGCCGGCGGTGGGGTGGTTCAAATAGCCTCGGCTATCACCTCATTATGTCCAGTCGTGATGGTCAAGTGGATTAAGGCGTCTTGTACATACCAGTTGCGTGGCTCCTGGGAGTATGGGTTCGAGTCACTTCTGGGGTGTGAGTTTTCAGTTATATATATATATATATATATATATATATATATATATATATATATATATATATATATATATATATATATATATATATATATATATATATATATATATATATATATATATATATATATATATATATATGTTCGTGGGGAAAATGTGTATATATATATATATATATATATATATATATATATATATATATATATATATGTATATATATATATATATATATATATATATATATATATATATATATATATATATATATATATATATATATATATATATATGCTCGTGGGGAAAATGTGCATTGAAGTTCCTGAAGGAATTGGGGGACAAATTGATCAGCGCTACAAAAGACCAGAGAGCAAAAAGTTTCTTGTTCCAGCGCCTCAGTGTTGCGATTCAGAGGGGAAATGCCTGTTGCGTCTTGGGCACTAGTCCAACTTCAGAGGAATTCGAAGAAGTGTTTGACTTGCAACAATGATCGAACCCGTCTGTGACATTCATCAATGTTTCCCATCTTGGGAAACCTATTTCCCAACAGGGACATTCATCCCTGTTTCCCAATGTTTCATCAATGTTTCAAAGGGAGCCGGTCGGCCGAGCGGACAGCACGCGGGACTTGTGATCCTGTGGTCCTGGGTTCGATCCCAGGCGCCGGCGAGAAACAATGGGCAGAGTTTCTTTCACCCTATGCCCCTGTTACCTAGCAGTAAAATAGGTACCTGGGTGTTAGTCAGCTGTCACGGGCTGCTTCCTGGGGGTGGAGGCCTGGTCGAGGACCGGGCCGCGGGGACACTAAAGCCCTGAAATCATCTCAAGATAACCTCAAGATATATTCCCAGTGTTGTGTTTTACAAGAGATCCATAACCTTTAATCACCTTTTTGCATTATTATTTTTGTATCAACCCATGTATATCTTGTAACCATCAAATGCA